AAAGTTGAACAAAACATTTTAATTTAACTTGTAGCTGAAACAGGTCGGTAATTCATAAACAATGTGATATAAGCTTAAGTTGGGGGGGAAAAAACTTTTTATTTAACTGGTAGCTGAAACTAGTCCCTGACCACCGTGAAATGACATATTCTTTGACAAGAACTCATGGCCCATAAACCGCACACTCTTCTCTAGAGCTTAACGGAGTCTTGTTCACACATTTCCAAATTTTATACCCTGTTCCAGAAGAACAGCGATACGTTTTAGCAGCAGCAGCAGTTTATGGGTCTAGATAAATAATCTCTGCTAGAACAGAAGCCCGCCTGAAACGAAGCAACTCCTTGAGCAAGTCCCATCCTCCATCAACCGATATCGGCTTGATGGTCATTCTCTCCAGGGCAGGCGAGTTCGAGAGCAGAAACTTTATGCAGTCGAGTTCAGCTTGAACTCCAGAGATGCCAACTATCTTCACTGATCGCAATTGGAGCAACAGATTAGTCCAATGTTCATCTTCCCAGGAACTGTTCATTGTTCTTCCACCGGACTGTTCTTCCGGGCGAGCCTTAAAAGTCAAGTTGTGGGTATCAGGAAAAATTAGGACATGATTGATAACAGGAAAGTTTGGATTAAGTAGTAGCACGAAGAGCAAACAGCTTACCAGCATCTCTACTTCTTGCAGATTAGGTGAACTTTTCAGGAGGCACAGAGCAGCAGCACTCTCATCCATATCGTTGAAGTTTACGCGTATCGAAAGGTAATTCAGATCGATGCATGGTTTTGGCAACCTGGTTGGCACATTTCCCATGGCCAAGTACTGGGGAAAAGAGAAAAGATGAGGCAAAACGGTTGCATATGAAATGAACGTGCACCTAAATAATTCTATATTTGTGCAGTAGAAACCAAAAGCACTTGACAGAAGGACCCATAAGAAAATCACTCTGCAGAAATTGAGGGGTCTCGTATGAATGGTGATATGTCGAAATTGATAGATTGTGAAGAATACATAGCTTTCAGAATAGATAGGCTGTCAAAATCTATTTGCTCGGGTAAGTGACTTTAACAAGTAGATATATTGTCAAATACATTGTTGCAACAAACCCGAATACTTTATAGCCTAACTGTGGATTGTGTGCACAATCCACCCTCCCAAATGTACAATCCAAAAAGCCCCAAGTGAATGTGAGTTGACAATCTATAAGCAGAACATTCTAAGGCCGTACCAAGTAGTAGGAAGGAGTAATGATTACCTTGAGAAAGTAACTCTGAACCTCCAGCCTTCGAATATGAGGAAGATTAGCAAAGAAACTGAGCAGTTTGCTCGAGCTTCCACTCAATGCCACATTCCGGTCATACAACCCAATGGAAACAAGAGTCAACTGAAAAGTATGCTCAAAACTCACATCATCAAAGGCACCACCAATATCAAAGAACTGCAGGTTTGGGGCACTGATCTTGAGATGACTGAAACCATCAAAATTCATGAGAGTTAGCCTCTCGAGCAAAGGGCAATTAGTAATTAGATTCTCAAACGCATCCTGGGCAAGAGTAACATGTTGTAAATCAAGACTCTTGAGATTCCGAAACCCCTTGAAGCTAGAAGGCGGTCTCAGCAAGCAATTGAAAAGCTCCAAGTGGATCAAATTCTGATAAGAGAACAGACAACTTGGGATCTTGTACCGAGTCCCTTTCCATATCTCGAGGATGAACTCATTGACCGGGCGCCACGACAGATGGAGAATCCATCGGTCGATGTCGGTAACACCTACCAATTCACGGTGGGAGAGTTTGAACTTGTTAAGGGCTTCACGATGGAGCAGCAGGACGTGGTCAACAACGCTAACTAGTTTGTTCTTAATAAGAGCCTGGTCTTGAGAAGGAGATGCAATGCAGTTGCTGTCAAACACAAGATTGGGAATTTTAGCCCACTTGTACCTCCATTTCGAAGACAAGGTACTCGTTCTCACAGCATCTCTAATGGAGAGATGGGACAGAATTTGGTCCAGAACATGCTCAGACAAGCCGCTTATTCTGTCTAGCTCTATCTCAGTTTCACAAGGAAACTTTGGTGGTTCTCTATGCCTCTGAAAAATCAGGAACAAACAAACAAAAGGGAAACCAAGTTCACTACTTTTCTCCTCAAAATAATTATAAAAAAAAAACCATACTAAACAAATGAATTTCTCATCAATAGACAGCGAGTAACAGGAACCCTAATGAGTTTCATCCCCAAATTCAAAATCAAAACTTCGTAAATAATTTACCCCTGAGCTCATACGTTGTTGACGAGCACACAAATTATCAAGGTGATTATTTAGTATTTACAGAAACCTGCCGCAAAGGAACGTCAACAGTCGCGATCGGAAAACACAGTGTTTTGGAGGAAGGAAACCCACCATTCTTTTCGATTGCGACTCAGTTGCCAGCATTCTCGAGCAGACCCATCGGCGCAAATCTCTGCGACATGAGAAGCAGCTCAGTGGATTCTACGGGAATCGAGCTGCGCAGCGAGGAAAAGGGAGGCCGAATGGCTGGCTTCTGGCTCACCGATGGGAGTTGGGTGAGCTTGGGAGGGATCGATAATCGAACGAGGGAGATAATTTTGCGATTTATTAGGGCAAGAGAGGCAATAACGAATTCCTCCCCATAAATATTTTTGATAGGGACCCCATAAAAACAACAAAAAGAAATTCTTTATTTTTTATAATTTTCATTATAAAACAATCTTCCACAATTTTTTGCCCTTAAATTTTGATTTCTGACCATTGAAATATTCAAAATTCCAGTAAAAAAAATATTCAAAAGTTTTCAAATACATTCAAAATTATTTCACTAATTGGATGCCTTTTCTTATGCATGTAGATTTCAATTCCGATTTTTGTTTGAATTATTCCTGCGCTTACAAAAATAAAAAGGAAAGTAATAGGGTACAAAACTCATATCTACAAAATTACTATAAAACCCATCATTAATTTCTCATCGCTTCTCTCATCTAATGACTTAGAATAATTCTCAACAAAAAAAAAGAGAAGGGGCGGACAGGTAATTCTGTCACCCCTGAATCTTTTTTCCTGACAGCCCTGACATGAATTAAGAGGAGAGAATGTATTTTGTCTAATCTTCTATTTTTCTTAATTAGTTCTTACAAAATTTGTTTTACTCCGAATTTATTAAAAAATATTTGCATAGAATTAAATTACGAATGATATGACAAGTAATATGATAACTTATCTTCTTCATTTAAACTCAAAAATTGAAAAAATATTGTATAGAAAGAACACATTCATTAAGATCTACACAATGATATCAATTTTGTTATGTTTTATCAAGCATAAGACTCATACGAATATCATATCATTGTCATACCACTCATATAAACTGATATGAATGATATAGAATTGATATGGTCGTGATATGAATGACACGAACTTGATATGAAGTGATATGATATTGATATGATCTTGATATGAATGATATGAAACTGATACGATCTTGATATGAATGACATGAACTTGATATAAACTGATATGATAAGCCTGAAAATTTTTGCCCAAAATATATCTAGATAATATCTTGTAGAGCACAAAAAATATACATTTTTTTGTTGAAATTGGACGTAAAACGAATGCGCTATGTTTCGTTCAATTTTCGTAGGAAATTTGAAAAGTGCCTAGAATTCCACATCAACCCACTCCAAATTCGGGCAACGGCCAACAAGCAACAAATCTGGGCATGCCTCCATTTTCCCCTTCCTACCTCTTTATAATATTGATCATTAGATCTTTACTTCCAAAATTACAACCATTAGATCTAGTTTTGTAGTACTACAAAACAAGGATTAATGACATAAATATTGTTTTTTTTTAATTTACCACCAATATGGCGGATTAAAAACAAATGACACAGATTTGTGTTTTTAGAAAAGGCTGGGGCGGCCGCACCGGAGACTCAAGCGCCGCCGCTGACTATAAAGGTCTGGGCGCTGGCGCCCGAGTCCCTAGCGCCGCCGCATCAGCCTTTTTTTTTTTTAAAACTCCCCTCGGGCTCGGGCCCCCCCTCCCCTCCACCCTTATCTCTTCCCTGACCACACACTCCTCCTCCCTCCTTCTTCCCGACCACACAACACCTTATCCCCCCCCCCCCCCCAACCCTCCTCCTTCTTTCTTTCTTCCCGCCCGAACAGAGAAACCCCGCCGCAACTGAGGTGCCGGCGCCTGTGAGTGGAGCGCCGCCGCCTGTAAGTGTAGCGCCTCTACCTGGGAGTGGAGCGCCGCCGCTGGCGAGTGAGCGCCGTCGCCGCAGCAGGGAGCGCCGCCGCTGGGGAGTGAGCGCCGCCGCCGCAAAGAGGGGAGCCGCCGCTGCAGTCTGGAGCGCCGCCGCTTACTGGTAAAGCGCCGTCGCTGATGTCTTCCGACGAAGAAGCCGCCGGCAGAGGCAGGGGGAGAGGCCGGCGAGGTCGTGGCAGCCGTTTGCGCGGTGAGACTCTCGTCGGCTGCTTGATTTTTTTTTTTAATGGTTTGTGTTTTTTTTTAATGTTTTGTTGCTTTGTTTTTGCAGTTCCTAGGCTTATGGATCCTTATTCGATGAGATTACCGCCGGCGACAATTAATCCAAGTCCGGTCGATGCGACACTTCTTTGGGGACATGGCCAACATCGTATTGACTCTGTTTGGACAAACGAGGTAAGTATTTGATAATTATTCATGTAAAGTTAATTAGCTAATTAGATTATTTTAGTTGGTGAACTGTACTGTTAGAGAATAGGATTACGTATTAGATTTTTTGAAATTAGTATAATTTGATATTAAATTAGATAGATTAGAATTAATTAGGTGAAATTAGAATTATTACGAATGAAGATGAATTAATATAAGTTTTGTGCACTATAGGCTGCTGATCGATCTTTCCATGTTCGAGGTACGACCATTTTAGTACCTTACCGTGAGCTTTATCGGCCATATCTCGAAGCGGCAGGCTTGTTAAGTGTCGTGCCCCTAGTCCCTATGAACCCCGATGCGAGTTTGATTACTGCGCTCGTAGAGCGGTGGCGACCCGAGACGTCGACCTTCCATCTACCGTGTGGTGAGGTCACGATCACGTTAGAGGACGTTGTTACACTGTCCGGTTTGGCGATCGACGGTGATGCCGTCGTAGTTGATATACCGGATGAGGAGTGGTCGGCGATCTGTTTGAGACTGTTAGGACGGGTTCCGGTTGATCTTGTAGGCGGGGTCGCTGTTGTTAGGATTGTTTGGCTGAGGGTTGAATTCAGTCATCTGCCGGAAGATGCATCACAGGAGGTTATAGAGCAGTTTGCACGAGCTTATGCTCTATCTCTGATTGGAGGTGTACTTTTCCCGGATCGGTCTGGATCTACGGTGCACCTACAGTAGCCTACCACTCGGAGCATATGGAGTGGTATAGAGATGTCACCAGACGTTCCGGCACACGGAGAGGAGCTGTAGCGGAGGCATTGGTTAGTTATTTGATTTGTTTGCTTAATTTGTTGTTAACTGTGTGAAATATCTGACATTTTGTTGGTGTTTTTTAGTACGACACTATCGAGCATGCTGAGGTGAGTTTGCGTGACGGTGGGAGGGCTGGAGGGCTGGCCCCTGACCAGTGTGTGGACTTGGCCAACTTTATGGCATCCGGGGTTGCTACTCTAGGGTTTGAGCAGCGTAGATACCCTGATCTCACAGTACCTGTGCAGCCCCATTATGCGGAGCCTGTCATGACTGTCTGGCCAGAGCGTACTGATCCGACACAGGACTGGGTCGCCCCAGAGCCACAGTTCAGACAGGAGCGTAGGGCACGTAGACAGCGACGTGAGCATGCTGATGTACCTAACCCATTTCGGGTTTCAGATCGACAGCGAGCACAGCCCATCCGGCCTACATCGAGGAGCTTCCAGTTTAATCCGCTTCGGTCGCAGTTTCAGTCAGATCCTTCCTCGAGCTTTCAGCCGCCGCGACGCTCGCAGTTTCAGTCAGATCCGTCTTCGAGCTTTCAGCCACCGCGACGGCAGCAGTTTCAGTCAGATCCGTCTTCGAGCTTCTATCAGCCAGAGGATAGCTTCCATACACCGCAGCATACTACGATGGGAGGCGGAAACATGGCTTCAGGTGGTGATACTAGAGCAGCCTCGACTCCCAACCTGTGGGACAGCCTAGAGGGTGATCAGGTTTTTCAGGAGACGATGTGGAACTATGACCAGAATCTGCAGTCTCAGCAGCATGGTGGCGGTGCGCCTGAGGAGCATCTTCAGTCTCAGCAGGATGATCTGTTCGGTACACAGGATCAGGATGGTGGTGACGAGGAAGATCATTCCCAGGCGTATGATGGTCGACCTATGTGTAACAGGGTGGCTGCGAGGTGTGGTACTAGCGGCCATCTAGTGGTGGAGCATGGTGGTCGTCGTGGTGGTCATCGTGGTGGTTGTCAGTGAGACTATTATGTAGTTTGTTTATTTTTGGATTGTTATTATGTACTTCCTTTATTACACTATTATGTGTGGACTATTATGTGTGGACTATTATGTTTGGATTATTATGTAGTTTCTAGGGTTAATACCTTGTTATGGCCTGAACTATGACCAAGTAATCAACTTTGGCCAGTGGTTTGAGAAATTAACATCCTGGCCCGATCTATGCAGCATATTGACAAAATTGGCCTGGAGCGTGGTTTGACCGTTTGTTTGGACGGTCAACACCGTTGACCGTTAGTCAACTGTCCAGGTCACTGCCATGTCAACATAAAAAATTACAATTTCAATTTTCTTTATATTTCATTTACAAAAATTGAATAATTAAAAAAAACAAAATTCAAAAATTTTAGCCCACTCATCCCCACCTTATCCCCTCACCTTCTTTCCTTTTCGGTCAATCCCTATTCCATCTTCTTCCTCCTTCTTCCCCGAACAGAAAAACCAATCAATAATATTACCCAATGAATCAATCAAAACTCTCTCTCTCTCTGTAATATATACTTTAAGTAGACCACACTCAGCACCAGGCCACACAAAATGAATGTATGTCTTTCTGTACATAGAACACACACACAGAGATCGCCACCAGCATCGCTTCCTTCGCCACCAAAAGAATGGAGAAGGGAAGTCTGCTTTGATATATCTATCCTCCTAAAGTTGGCTCCCTGCTTCAGTTGATAGCAGTGAGAGGAACTCTGGAGTCTCTCAGTGACTGCGGGGAATTGTTATTAGCGGACTCGTAGGTTCCGGTTCCCACAGCAGCGGCGACGTTCTTGTTGATGTCTCCATTGGATAGCTGCAGGTGATGCTGCTTTGCGGATCTGAATGATCTCAGCAGCTCATCGAATGCGGGAGTTCTGAGCTCCTCGATTGAACCAATGCTCGGCAGGTTGAATCCCCGCTTCCTCGGTGTTGAACAAGATGGTTCATCCACCTGTGCCAACAAAAATTCAGTACCTTTTTGTTGACGAGGACATTAAAGGAAAAGGAAAGAAGGTGAGGGGATAAGGTGGAGATGGGTGGGCCAAAATTTTTGGATTTTGTTTTTTTTTTTTAATTATTCAATTTTGTAAATGAAATAAAAAGAAAAATGAAATTGTAATTTTTTATGTTGACATGGCAGTGACCTGGACAGTTGACTAACGGTCAACGGTGTTGACCGTCCAAACAAACGGTCAAACCACGCTCCAGGCCAATTTTGTCAATATGCTGCATAGATCGGGCCAGGATGTTAATTTCTCAAACCACTGGCCAAAGTTGATTACTTGGTCATAGTTCAGGCCATAACAAGGTATTAACCCTAGTTTCTATTATGTTTGGACTATATAGGATTATGTTATTATTTTATTAACGATAAAAACCATAACTACAACAACTTCTACATGATTATTCGAAGGAAATACAACAACTACATACCAAACTACAACAACTTAATACCAAACTACAACAACTTCTACAGGATTATTCGAAGGAAATACAACAACTACTACATTTGAACAAACTTCTCAGCCACGTCTATTACCTCTACTTCCTCTTCTACCACCTCTCCCTCTTCGGTTGCTCCCACTCCCACTAGCTTGACCACCGCAGGTTGATGCATTATGTCCCGCTTGGTTACAGTTGCTACACACTTGGTGTGATGCACCCTCCCTTAGCCAATCCATCTCGTAGTGAATCCTTGTAACCCGTGGCCTCCCCGGCTTCCTAAGCATGTGCACATTAGGATGGAGAGTAGGACCATTATGCTTCTTCCAACCCTTAGGTTCACCAAGAGGTGCGAAACTTGTCCCATAACAAGCCATCACTGTTTCCAGCTTGTAGACATTGTTTACAAACCCATACGCATTAGCCCCCAGTCGGTTGCAAGCTGCAATAGCATGAGAGCAAGGAATTTTATTTCCTTGAAATTTACCACAGGTGCAAAATCCCTCCCGGTTTTGGTCGTCAAAGTGCACTGTGAGTGTGTTTGACCCCGTCATGTTGAAATTGTTGGGGGGGAGTCTGAACTACATAGATGCCTTGACTCCGATCAAGAACTGTCACAGTATGTCCAACTGCCTTTTGTGACCTGTACTTCATCAGCTCTTCGCACTTGGTGGAGTACTGTGAAGGACCACTTCTAATTTCTGCTCCTGTCTCCAACCTGTACTTATCGAATTTCTCCACCAATCGTCAATAGGTATGTTGCACAAGAGAAGCTATAGGAAGTGCACGAATACCTTTGAAAACACCATTGATGCTTTCAGCCATGTTGGATGTCAGCATAGACCAACGATGCCCACCGTTGTAGTTATCATGTGCTAAACTCCAACGAATCTGATGTTGATCCACCCAGTTATCACATGAAATATTTCTATCACTGGCCACCTTCTTAAATTGCTCAACTTGACGATCGAACTTCTCCAACCGTTTTTCTCCAGCTAACAAAATAAACAACCACACGGGTTAGATAAATTCATGACAAAATTACATGAAAATAAATAACATAATTAAATGAAGAAGGCTTACCGACTCGAAATAGTTGCTTATACATAATTCTGCTTTTAGTCTTCCTTTGCAAATTGCTTGCATAGTGTCGCATGCACCACCTCCACTCCCAACCTCTTCCGATGTTATTCATGGCTTCATAGAGTCCTGCATGTCTATCTGAGATGATGCATACATCATTTCGATCAGTCAAACCCTGAACGTTCCTTATGAACCATGGCCAACTCTCAGTATTCTCGCTCTCCACTATGGCAAATGCAATTGGAAAAATTTTCTTCCGACCATCAAATGAGCTCGCCATGAGTAGCACTCCTTTATACTTCCCTGTAAGAAATGTTCCATCAACAACCATGACGCCCGGACAATTCTTGAATCCATCTATACAAGGTCCATAAGCCCAGAATACTCGCTGAAATATCAAATGACCTAGTTGAGTCGAAGGAACTCTTACCCAATCAATCACCGATGTTGGCATTTTTCTCTTGACTACCCGCAAGAATGTCTGCAAAAAATCGTAGGATTCTTCCCAATTTCCATGCAACTTCTCTAATGCTCTTTGTTTCCCATACCAAGCCTTCTTGTAAGTAACTTGCATATTAAACTTATCTTTCAACTCAGCTTGCACAGTTAGAACACTCAGATTTGGTTGGGCACGTACCAAATGTTTGACGGCCTCAGATATCATGTCGACATCAAGATGGCGATGATCCGTCGGTTGAGTCGTACTGCTACAAGAATGCACCAACTCAGCCTTTCTCACAGTCCATTCGCCTCCAGCGTCTCGACATCCAAACCGCACCCCTCAAGGACAATTGTCATCCTTGTGCCTCAAGCATCTGACCTTCCAGATTGAAGGTGACGACTCCACCATGCCATATTGAAAGTTGCGTTGTAGTGCGTGGTGTTTAATCGCCATCTGTGCAGCTTGTTTCGAGTGAAATATCTGCCCCTTGTAGAATTCTCCTTCAAAACTATCAACAATAGGCATTGGAATTACGCCATATGAATCAACAAGTGAGTATTCTTCGTCCTCTTCATTACCCTGCAAGTAAAAATATGGAGGATAATTAGGCACTCGTTCCCCCTCTTCCTCCTCCTCCTCCTCCTCCTCCTCATCTTCCTCCTCTCCGTCATCACCGTCATCATAGGCATGATCGGATGGCACGCTCCATGTATCATCTTCTACCTCTCCACCCTGATCCTCACTGAGCTCAACATGTATCTCAGCACCCAAACAATAAGGATTTTGTGCCATAGAATTCCAAAGCACATTCAAGCTATCATCATCCACAATAGGCATTGCATAATGAAATAAAACACCATTCTGCCATTCTGGAAGACGGTAAATGAAACTTGTGATCACATCACTATCTTGTACTGCTTTGTCTCTACGCCGTATTCTCGGAATTAGATTCTCAC